AAGAATGCAGGTTGGAAGATTATGTGGGTAGCTGTGACATACCCATAAAGATGTATGATGTTGTTGCTGCAGCTAGAAACTATCTTCCTGTGGTCTGTTATCACTGTCCACAACAACTGAATGCTACCAAGTGGTATATCAAGTGAGGTGATGTCCCTCTTCAGCAATGGCAGATAGACTACATTGGCCCTCTCCCATTATCAGAAAGGGCCAAATATGCATCAACTTGTGTGGCCACTGTAACAGACTTGGTGCAGTCTTCCACAGCAAAAAAAAAGCCAATCAAAAGGCAATTATTAAGGGATTGACCTGGTTGATTGCCATGTGTAGCATACCACAGGAATTAACAATGACCAAGGAACTCATTTCACAGGTCAAGACATACAGCAATGGGTTCAAGACTGGGACATACTATGAATTTTCCACCTGCCATGCAATCCAACAGGAGCTGTATTATCTGAAACAATGAATGGCCTGCTGAAACAAGCCATAAGGACTGAGAATGACTCTATGCAGGGCTGGGTTTTCCTAATGAGAAACCCAGACATCAGCTGCCTGCAGCTGATTCTATGTTATCTTGCCAATGGCTGCCAGGGTTGGGGTTACAGATAAAGTGCACATCCACTGAACATTTTCTTAAACTGGCCTGGGCACAAGTAACAATTTACCAATGCTGGCTCTTCAAGATATTACCTGGGAGACAAGGAGCATTAGTTGGCCATGGACTGTACAAGTAACCACCTCCAGTGGTTTGCCTTCTGGTTCCTTATAGGGAGGAAGAATGGCTAAATGTAAAAGTAAAACCTACAATATTGGGACCCTGGCACTCACAAGTACAGGCGATGATACTCTTGGCATTATCACCTGAGGAAAAAAAAWTTTTGCCGGGGGAGAGGTACTGGGGATTGAACTAAGGAGCACTTGACCACTGAGCTACATCCCCAGCCCTGTTCAGTATTTTATTTAGAGACAGGGTCTCACTGAGTTGCCTAGTACCTCACTGATGCTGAGGCTGGCTTTGAACTTGTGATTCTCCTGTCTCAGCCTCCCTAGCCACTGAGGTTACAGGCTTGCACCACCGTGCCTGGCCTGAGGAAAATTTTGTATCAGTTTATGGCAGTTATATATTCCAGAGTTGTCTTGTTCCTTCTATACCCCTCAAGTGCAAACAGGTTGATATGGTACACTTGCCCTGTAGGCTCATTTATGGACAAAGCTGTAAGGACCATACAGTAAAGATCATATAATAGCCTATATATTGCCTCATGGAGCTGCTTTGCTATTATTAGTGTTTATTAAACATTTGTCATATTCTCCACAGGTTAACAACAAGGTTGCTAAACAATAGGTTTAAGCAACTGCTTAACAATAAACCTATAAACAACAGGTTTATTCCTGGACTGAGTAATGGAGGTTGCACATCATGCTAACCAGAATAACTGTTGGATCTGCTCAGAACTCTCTCTGACTGCAGCACAAGAACTTCCCTGGATATCTTAACCTGGAAATGAGATGGAATAGACTTGGCTGACACTGACTAGACTGCCTGCAAAAATGGCCTTCATATGATTACACTAAAGAAAAAAAAATCACGTTTGCTTTGATTGGAGACATTAAATTTCTCTCAAGTACCTGGGTATACTTATATATGGAATGGACTTTTATATGAGGTAGCAATTCAGGTTAGAGTTAAAAAGTAAACTTTCCTTTGCATCACCCAGTAGGGTCATGATAAAAAGACGGCAGGTTTTATGCCTCCATGTCTGTGTGAGAAAACAGTCAACTCACCCATCATTCCTTGTTACTCATGGGGCTTTTCCCCTGCCATGGGATGAACTGTGTATAGGTGGGCTCTATGGATGGCCTTATCTACCTTACCACTGGACAGGACAATGTACATGGGGAGGGTTTTGATCTCAGCCTAAGTTTTGCCTCTTTTGCCACACATACACCTAGTAAATGGAGTAGCATAAAGGCCCTGCCATGCCATCTGGTGGTTTTAATCATTAGATTATCTTTCCCCACAAACTACAGTGATTGATGTAGAAGCTTAAGTCTTGATTTAGCCTCCCACACTGCTCAGGTTTTTTTTTTTTTTTTTTTTTTTTTTGGTACTGGGTATGGAACCCTGGGGCACTCAATCACAGAGCCACATCCCCAGCCCCCCCCCCCTTTTTTTGTATTTTATTTAGAGACAGGGTCTCACTGAGTTAGGGCCTTTCTATGTTGCCGAGGCTGGCTTTGAACTCAAAATCCTCCTGTCTCAGTCTCCTGACCTGCTGGGATTATAGGTGTGTGCCACAGCGCCTAGTGCTCTCATTCTTTTTTTAAAAAAAATTTTTAATATTTATTTTTTAGTTATAGGTGGATGCAATATCTTTGTTTTATTTTGATGTGGTGTTGAGGATCGAACCCAGAGCTTTACGCATGGTAGGCGAGCACACTATCTCTGAGCCACAACCTCAGCCTCTCATTCTTAATAAGACTAAACATGCCATAATTTGATAACTGAGGAAACTACTAGGATAAGAAAGGAAGTTTTACGAAATAAGATGGTGTTGTTCTTGTGGCTGCCCAAGAACATGTGCAGCCTTGGGGACAGAATGTTGCTTGTATACATCTGATAATGGACATAATTACTCACACTTAAACCCATGTGTCTAAACAAATTAAAGCCATCTTAAGTACCTTAGCATGTTTGCTGATAGGTTCTTGTTCTTTGTACTTCTATTTTAAGATATAGATGCAATTTACCTCTGGAACCCTGCCCCAAGGGATTTTTTGAACACATAAAACAATATTAGATTGTGAGAGATATGAAGGGGCTTCTGAGGCACTGAAGGGGTGGAGTATTGGATTAAATTCTAATTAATGCCTGGGAAAGCTTGTAGTAAGAGAAGACCTCCAAAGAGTGTGATGAAAGAAATGGAGAGGGGAAGCTGGCCACTTCCTTTATCTTCCATCTTTAGAAGAGGACCTGAACAGAATGACACTTATTGTACGCTAAAGAAATATACTCATAAAACAACTGAGAAATCCACCTGTACAGTGGGCATGCAACTTATCCCATATATTCCCCCTGTTTGTAGGTGGGGTGTGTACAGTCTGTTGCCATGAAAAGTATGAGTAATAAAATGTGCAAAACCTCCCTTTTGAGTCATCCAAGTTCTTTCTTTGGGATCAGTAAACAGTGCACTGGGGTAATTGCATCCCTGGGCTGAATACCATCTTGTTCACAACTGTACTCCCGGCACCCAGGACAGTGCTTGGTAAATAGTAAGTATATACTTAGTAAACATTTTTGGCATAATTTAATAATGGAAAAAGGGGGGGATAAGATTCTTTTGTTTTGAAAATTTTTATTAGTTATTGATGGACCTTTATTAATTTATTAGTTTATATGTGGTGCTGAGAATCAAACCTAGTGCCTCACACATGCTAGGCAAGCACTCTACCACTGAACCACAACTCTAGCCCCTGGGATAAGACTCTTAATCATTCTTTTTTAAACATACATATCAATTTCAATAATCAGGTACATGGCTCTTCTACTTGAAAGAATTCATTGCTCAGTGTCTTTTGCCTGTCTTACTATTTTAAGATGCTTCTGTCCTTAAAGCTGATATGGTTTCAAAATTAAGAAGAAAATAAAAGCTCTCATTTTCTTATGTTCTGATAATATCTACTTAATTAGTTTTGGGTGTTGGTAAGTTGATGAGAAGGTGTTTAGGTTCTGCCCAAGAGTAAGCTGCAGCATGTGTACTCACTACACTCTTTCAGGCAGGGAATACACATCTCCAAAGGGAGGAACCCAGGAGACCTGAGGTCTGAGCCCATTGTGGTTCAATTTCAGTGCCACAGAATTGGATTTGTGTGCATATTGTGTGGTTCTTTAAACTAGGTCCACTCCAGCTTCTCCTCAAGGAATGTAGAGTTAGAAGACTAGGGTCTGAGGGGCTTCCTATGAGACCTTCGTTTTGTTGCTCCCTTTGATGAGAGGCATTCTGAGTCACTGCCTTACTCCTTTTCTCCCTAGTGACTAATTTATCAGTAGACTTTTGATGAGCTGAACTTCAGAAACAAAGCCTGCCCAACATGTTTCTGGTTGAAGTAATGAATGATTAATGGCTGCTGAAAACATTGAAAGCAAAGCTTATTTGAGCGAAGAAAGCCAAGTACTGGTATTTTATTTATTTAAAACAGGTTTTCCCTATGTTGCCCAGGCTATCCTGGAACTCCTGGATTCTATAGAGGGTGATCAAATCTTAGTGCATAGGTTTGGTCAGAGTCACTATGTGCCAAGAGCAGCTTCCAGAACAAGTGCTGTTAAAATTTAACTGGCTTTTAAGATAGTCAAAGCTTTACAATGTCTGTGTCTGAACTGTACCCCTTAAATAGTGGATTATGTTTTTAAACATTACGAATTGACATATTAATGAGTTGATGAATATAAAAAATATAAACCAGATCATGAACTGCTTGGACAACTTGGGTTTCCAACTTGGCTAATATCTGCTTTTCGAGTTTATTCTCCAGGCTGTGTGCCAACTTTACATCCAGTTTATTCAGCTGCGGGTTTCCAAGGGCCACACCCAGCAAAGCCCGGTGCAATTTACCAACTGGAGGGAAGGACTTGTTAAAGAAGGAAGAGAAACGCCTCCAGGTGCGTGGGCTCCAGGTTTCTTTCCTACTTCTTACAACCACCGATTGTTCAACATATGACTATGACGCGCGTGGTTCTGCATTTCCTTCCTTAGAAAAAAGGGCAGTAAACTTTTCGCAAATCCCTTTCCTTCTTTCCCCTTTTGTCCCCTTCCAGTTCCTCCTTTCTCTCAAGTCACCTTTTCTCTGGCTGTCTGGGTACTTCCCTCAGCCTTGTCGCTGTACGCCTGCGCCTGCGCAGATCGGGCCGTCGGCGAAGACAGGCGCTGCCAAGTTTGCACGGCCTTTGCTTTGCGACATGGCCGTAAAGCGCCGCCACGCACTTGAGACGTCACGGGTCCCGGGTGGCTGTTCTCGGCAGCTGACCCTGGGGTAGTCGGCGGTACTTGCTAGTGGGGATTTCTGTATAGCACTGGGGAAAGCGGCGGTTGGTTATATGGGGAGAACTTCTAGTCTGTGTGTATTTTTAGATAGATGCAGCTGAAGAACCCGCGGGTCGCCGGGTCCTAGTGCCCGCTAGATACCCGGAGCCGGGGATCGGGCAGTGGGGCCGGCGGAGGCTGAGGCCCAAGCTAGGAACCTAGCTTCCTCGAAGCCGCCCGCGGGGCGCTGATGGCCGGACGCTCCCTGCGAAAGGCTTTAGCCACGGTGTCTCTCTCAGTAGCCTTGGCCTCCGTGACTGTCAGGTCCTCAGGCTGCCGCAATATTCCGGCGTACAGGTATTCACCCCTCCTAGTGCTGACCCCTATCCTGAGACCTTGGGTTGGGGGTGGGAATCAGCTTCCTTTCCGGCGTATTCTGTAGGCTTATGACCCCGATTTACGCATCCCTATACCCCAAACAAAAACAAAACAAAACAAAAATCTTCAAAATGTATTAGTTTTTTTTTTTTTTTGGAAAATTAGTTCTGGGACCTTTATTAACGCCTAATTTTGAAATTTGCCGTCCTTTATAAGTCACCAACATTGTGGTCATCAGAGAGTTAAGCGCTTGTTTGGGTTCTGTTGCCCCGTGTCATTTTCTTTTCTGGCTAATATTTAAAACATCATGGACATTGGCTGTTTTACTAATATAAGTAGTCGTTGTTTTCTCTATATGGGAAGATTGACTTTGGCTGTTTGTATCTGGCTCCTAGTCTGGAAGTTCAGTGGAGAGTGTGTGAGCTGGTACCAGGTGTACAGACCTGAACCCTTTAACCCTAGAATTTACAGTAGTATAGTTTCCTCAACTTTATTTTCTAGTGTGACTTGTAAAATTATTAAACCTGTTTTTCTCTGTTTTCTAACACCAATATTAATGGCAGGGGTCCCAGCTACCTCCCCTGTTTTTTAAACTTTTGACTTTATCCTGGGAATAAATAACTATTGCCAACTTTTAGTTTCCATTTGAATAACTTCCATAGTTATTGTCTCACTGCCCACTTAACAAACTTTGGGCTTACTGACTTCAAATTTGAAATCTCTTGGCTTCTCTTGTGAGGGTGGCATCTCTCACCCTTTTGTATATACTCCTAAATGTAATCTGTTCTACTCTGGCTTTTAGGCCATTATGGTTCTGTCCATTTGCCGTCTTCCTGAAATTGGTTAAAATCTCTTACTAGTGGTGTCCCACTCATTCTGATAGTATGGATTTTATTTCCTTGTATACATCTTTTATCTTCTTCCAGTGGAATTTGAGGAAGGAAGGAACACATGATAGTGGTATCTGGAAGTCACTAATTCTATTTTTGTTAGTTGCCCCTGGAACAATGTAAAGTTGCTTGCAATTATTCTTCATTTTTATAAGGTGGGAACTCTAGAACCAGAGACTCTAGAACCAGCTTAGAAGAAAAACCCAGAAGTTAAGTCAACAAATATGTGTGGAGTACCTGGTTTCTAATGTTGCAAAGCATTCTGGAGAAGACAAAAGAAACGTATTATTGAGAATATTACCATTCTTGGTCTGGTAGGGTGGCCCATACCTGTAGTCCCAGCAGCTCGGGAGGCTGAGACAGGAGGATCCCGAGTTCAAATCCCACCTCAGCAACTTAGTGAGGCACTAAGCAACACAGTGAGACCCTGTGTGTGAATAAAATACAAAAAGGGTCCGGGGATGTGGTTCAGTGATCGTGTGCCCCTAAGTTCAATCCCTGGTATCTCTCCCCCCCCAAATTTACCATTCTTTAATAATTGGGGAAAATCCAGAAAGTGACAGTTTTTTAAAAAAATATTTATTTACTTTAGTTTTCGGCGGACACAACATCTTTSTTKGTATGTGGTGCTGAGGATCGAACCCGGGCCGCACGCCTACCAGGCGAGTGCGCTACCGCTTGAGCCACATTCCCAGCCCAGAAAGTGACAGTTTTGCAGTTAGTTTTTTTGAGTTCACCAGTTTCAAATGTCTGTTTTCTACAAAAAGCAATAGTATTTGGATTGTTATGTTTCCAGGTTTCCCAGCAGGATCTACCACAACATACCTTGGTTGAGAACATTGTATATTTTGTTTCTGTAAAAAAAAAAAAAAAAAAAAAAATATATATATATATATATATATATATATATATATATATATATATAAAATATCTGTCTGAGCTAAAGATTGAAATAGAGATAGTTTTGCATAGTGTTTAGACCCTGAAACTCTGAGCCAGTTTGCCAGGATTTGGTTCTGATTCTGTTATCAGTTGTGTGACTTTGGTAAACTTGCTTAGCCTCTCGGGCCTTAATGTTCTTTTTTATTTTATTATTTTTTTTGTAGATGAGCCTTAATGATCTTATTTCTAAAAGAAGAAAAGTACCTAAACTCAGAGTTGAGGGGCTGGGGATGTGGCTCAAGCGGTAGCGCGCTCGCCTGGCATGCATGCGTCCCGGGTTCGATCGTCAGCACCACATACAAAGATATTGTGTCCGCCGAAAACTAAAAAATAAGTATTAAAAATTCTCTCTCTCTCTCTCTAAAAAAAAAAAAAAACAAACAGAGTTGAGGATCAAATGAGTTAATAATATTACAATATTTGGAACAATGTTTTTCACACACAGCATGCACTTACTATATATATATATGTAGTTATAACTATTATGATTATTGAATTTTTTTTTTTTTTTTTGGTTTAAAGCACACGTCACTATTACATTTCTTTTCTTTCTTTCTTTTTTTTTAGTATTGGGGGATTGAACCCAGGGATACTTAACCAGTGAGCCACATTCCCAGCCTTTTTTGTATTTCACTTAGAGACAGGGTCTCACTGAGTTGCTTAAGGCCTCTGTAAGTGGCTGAGACTGTCTGTGAACTCATCATCCTACTGCCTCAGCCTCCCAAGCCACTGGGATTATAGGTGTGTGCCACTGTAATAATGCCTGGCAAAATTGCATTTCCTTAAATTTGCCAGTTTTGGTAACCAGTTTTTGCTTTGTAAGATTCAAAGGTATTTAATTACCTTTGGTAGGACAAATAAATTTCTTGCATCTATTCAGTAATGCAGTTAAAAGAGGTCTAAGCTGTATATGTATATATGATAAGTATACTTGTTCTGATATCTTTTAGTATGTCACATTACACAGAAGATATAAATGGCATTAGTGCTTCTTTGTAGGGTAAGAGGAATTTTTGATGTTCTTGCAAAATTAAAATTATTTAGAAAAGTAACAATCATAAAATTATTTAGAAAAGTAAAAATCAGGTGTATTACGTTTTCTCTCGTTTGAGTCCATAGCAGATTTTTGGAATTCCATATGCTTAACCTTGCTAAATCAGGGAACAGAGAACCCAAAATTACTTAGAGAACATTTTTCGTACATGTTGGGGTAGAGTTTAACAAGATTCATGTTTCTTGTGGACATTTTTTCCTTGCCCTGCTATCAAATCATGAAACATAATTGTCTTTTATAACAGAATTTTAAATTTAGAGACTAGGGCTTCATATATTATATTATGCTTTTAAAGTAACATACCTGAAATCTAATTTTGATAAATCTGTGTTTCATATTTATACATTTTTATTGAATATGAATTTAGAATCAGTGGGAAAGATCTTTTAAGAGTAGTCATCATTTAGATTTCCAAAGTTGTGGCAGCTGAAGCAAGTAAGTTATCATAACATGAAAATAGTGAATGAATTTTTACTAAAGTTAGTCACAAGTTGAAACTCTCCCACTTTATGCTAATGTTCATTCTCTCTGGGGATATTAATTTCTTTACTAGTCAGGCTTTCCCTGAATTTTGGGTGTTTGACAGTACTTCATGGATGCAAAGGGAATACAAAATGAAATGGTGCTTGTTTCAAAGTCTTTAAATAGGATGAAAGATATCTTGAATTGCACAAGAGCTATAGACACAAGAATAGGAAAGATTTAAACCAGTAAAAAGTCAAGGAAGAGAAGACAGTGTGGCAGTTTTGTAGAAAACTAAACATAACTATTATTGTATGACTCAGCTATCACAATTTTTGTTATTTATTCAAATTAATGAGGTTGTGTTCACACAAAAACCTGCACACAGATATCAGCTTTATTCAAAAGTGCCAAGACTTAGATGCAACCAAGATGTCTTTTGGTAGGTGAATGGGTAAATAAACTGTGGTACATCCAGATAATGGAATAATAAGTGCTAAAAAGTGAGTTATTTAAGCCATGGAAAGATATGGAGGAATCTTATATGTCTATTACTGAGGGAAAGAAGCCAATCTGAAAAGGTTATCTGATTCGAACTATATGACAATTCTTGAAGGCAAAACTATGAAAACAGTAACAAGATCAGGAGTTGTGGGGGCAGGATGAATGAATTGGGGGAGCACAGATGATTACTTTTTAATAATAATAAATAATAAGCTTATTTTTTAGAGCAAAATTGAATAGAAGTTATATAAATTTCCCATGTATCCCCAACCCTTATGCATGCATAGTTTACCCCTTATAGTGTATCTCACAGAGTAGTGTGTTTGCTGGGTTAATGTGTCATTGTCACCTAGAGTCCCATAGTTTACATTAGAGTCTCTGTTTTATTTATGGATTTGGATAAACAGTATAATCACATGTTTTTATATTGTTCATTGCATATACAATACACTTTGAAGAGGGGTCTGGAGGTGGTGTGATAGGCAGTCCTTGAAGGTCAGGTTAAGAATTTTAATCTTAATTTTTAATAAGTTTCTATATAATTTAAATACATAATTTGACTTTAATGCATAAATTTCATCACTTCATTCATACTTCCCTTTCTTTAATATGTTTGGATAGTCCATTCTTGCTTGCTTCCTTTTGTTATCCCTTCTTTTTAACCTCCTGCTCTTTTTCTTCCTTTCTCTCCCCTTCTTTGTCACACTGTCTTCCCATTTTGTATCACTTCCCTCTTTCCCTTTTTCTCCTCCCAACCTTTCCCTCATATTCTCCTTTCCTTCTGTCTCTACCTCACAGTGGCACTGTATTTTCTAATCCATATTAAGAAACTGAAGATACGCTCTTTCTGTAGTTTCTACCACACACAGGTAATAAATAGTAAAAACATTTGTGGAAAGCAGAATAATGCCCCCCCTACCCCAAAGATGTCCACCTCCTAATATATGGAGCCTCTAAATATGTTGCTTGTGAAAGGAGACTATAGATTTTTTTAAGTTTAAAGACTTTGAGCTGGGAAATTATCCTGGGTTAGCCAGGTGCATCTGATCTAATCAAGTCCTCAAAAATGGAGACATTCTGGACTGTGTTCAGAGAAAGGTATGACTACTGAAAAATGGTCACAGATTCATTATCTTTGAAGGTAAAGAAAGGGGGCCATTGTCATAGAACCATGGTGCCCTCTAGAAAAGGTGTTATAGTAGCAGTAGAAAACTGATTTATGTACATACTCTTACTTAAAGTCATTATTTTATAAAATTATGATCTTATTATATACACTTTTCTACATCTTGTTTTTCTTTCTTTTTTAACCAATATCTTATGAAGATGTAGCCAAGTCATTTGATGATGTTTTTTTTTTTTTAATTTTTATTGTTGGTTGTGAGAGAGAATTTTTTTTTTAATATTTCTTTTTTAGTTTTCGGCGGACACAACATCTTTGTTTGTATGTGGTGCTAAGGATCGAACCCGGGCTGTACGCATTCCAGGCGAGCGTGCTACCGCTTGAGCCACATCTCCAGCCCATGATGTTATTTTTTTAAGCAATTTTTTTTTAGTTGTAAATGGACACAATGCCTTTATTTTGTTTATTTACTTTTATGTGGTGCTGAGGATTGAACCCAGTGCCTCACACATGCTCTACCGCTGAGCCACAACCCTAGCCCCTGGTGATGTTATTTTTAACAGTAAATAAATTTCTCCTTGCCAGTACTTGCTGTGTTCTTTTATCATAATGACCACTATAATGGGTATGAGGTAACATCTCTTTGTGGTTTTGTGTTGCATTTTTTTAATGATTAGTGACGGTGACATTGACTTTCTCTGCATGTATTTGTTGACCAGTTATATATCTTTGTAAAAATGTCTGTTCAGGCTCTTTGCTGATTTTGTAATTGGATTATTTTCTTGTTGAGTTATAGGAGTTCTTTACATGTTCTGGGTCTACCCAACACCCTATCAGAGATATGATTTACACTTCCATTTTTATGAGTTCCCTTTTCACTGTGTTGTGTTCTTTTTTGGGCCTATATTTTAAATTTTGATGTCCAGTTTACTTAGTTTTTTCTTTTGCTGCCCATGTTTTTGTTGTCATATATAAGAAATCATTTCAGATCCAGTATTGTGATGCAGTCCTATATGTGTTTTTCTAAGAGTTTTATCATTTTTGGTTTTATGATTAGATCTTTTCTTTTTTTTTTTTCGTTATTGCTAGGAGTCAAACCTAGGGCTTAAACATTTTTGACAGGTGCTCTGCCTCTGAGCTATATCCCCAGCCCTGATCTAGTTTTAGTTAATGTTTGTATATGGCATAAAGAAAAGGTTCTTTTTGCATATGAATAACCAGTTTTCCCAGTATAATTTGTTGAGAAGATTCTTCTTTCCTGGTTATATGGTCTTAGCACACTGTTGAAACATTTGATCCAAGTTAAGGAACTATATAGGTGTCCATGAACAGATGAGTGGATAAAGAAAATGTGATATACATATTATATAAATAATAGAGTTTTATTCAGCCATAAAGAAGAATGAGACTGTCATTTATGGGAAAATGGATGGAACTTGAGAATATTTTGTTAAGTGAAAATAAACTCGACTCAGAAAGTCAAGAGTCATGTGTTTTCTTGTACATGTGGAAGCTAGAGAGAATAAAGGAACAACAAAGGGGATGGGGAATCTAATGAAATGAGAAGGGAGGCCAGCAGAGGAGAGGAAGGGGACTGGGGTTGGAGGCTAGAAATGAAAGGGAAAGTACTGGGGAAAACTTTACCAAATATATCACAATAATTATGTATAATTATAATTCATCAATAAAGAATAATTAAAAATAAGAAATATTTGGCCATATATATGAAGGTTTATTCCTGGGCTTGCTATTCTGTTCCATTTATCTATAATGTCTCTCTTTATGCCAGTACCACACTCTTGCGATTATTATGGTTTTGTAGTGAATTTTGAAATGAGGAAGAATGAGACATTGAGTTTTATTTTTCTTTTTGAAGATTGTTTTGACTGTTTGGGTCCTCTTGAGATTTCATATGAATTTTAGGATGGAGTTTTTCTATTTTGGGAAAAAATGGAAACAGGGATTGCAGTAAATCTATAGATTACCTTGGGTACTTTTAACGTCTTTACAATATTAAGTCCTCCAATCAGTGAACATGGAATGTCTTTTCATTTATTAATATCTTATTTAATGACTCTCAGCAACCTTATGCAGTATTTAGTGTACAGGAGTTTTACCTCTTTGAAGTTAATCACTAAATAATAATTTTTTTATCCTATTTTAAGTGGAATTATTTCCTTAATTTTCTTTTTGTATTGTTTATTGTTAGTGCTTTGAATGTAACTATTTTGTTGAATTCATTTATTTGTTCCAACAATTTTATTCTTGGAGTCTTTTGCATTTTCTAAATAAAAGATCATGTGATTTGCAAGTAGATCATTTTCCTTCTTTCTTTCCAATTTGAATGTATTTTATTTTGGAGCTTTCATCAGTTTACCATGTTCTCAGATCCCTTTATCCACTTTAGATGTTCTAATTTAGGGTCATTGGGAATTTTAATTTTTATTGTAAGAATATTAAGAATCTAAGTTTTTAGGCAAGAGGAGACTTGTGTATGCTCTGAGGTTAGTATGTAAGTTATTAGTTTTTTTCTGTGCTCTCCAATTATTTTATATTCTTTAATTTTATTAAATTTTGTTCTAACGTTATATATTTACACACATATATGCATTTGCATACGTATACACACATATATATCAATCACTAACTTCAAATAATATTACATTAATTGCTTCGTTACTTCATTCCATTGTGTAAGAACTTTATAACAGTAAATTTTCATCTTCCTATTTTTCCTTTGTGCTATTTTATCATGTTTTATACATACATGTTAGACTATAGATGGTTTTTAAAAAATATATTCCTTTGAATAGACTTAAACAGTTTTACTTCATATTTATGGTTGAGTTATAACAAATTTCCCTTCTCTAACAAGTAATACAAAAGTAAATTTGTCCTTTTTTCTCAATTAAAATCAGTGAATAACCTCCAATTAATAAAAGTTAATATTAAAACATTTTTCATATTTGAAAACCTTTCACAGATGGACTGTTACATAAGTATATATCAAATTTAATTTTCTGGTTTTTAAAAGCTTTTGAAATTGAAAACTATGGTTTTTGGCCTTTGAGTTATGTTTTTAAATTAACATATTTTTGGTGTTTCTGTAAAATGTTTCTCCTTTTTTTTTTCCTTCCCAGAAACTCACTTTTATCCTCTTGGTTTCATCTTAACTCCAACATCATGTCTGGTTCTAATGGTGTCAAAGACAATTCCCACAACAAGGCTCGGACATCTCCTTATCCAGGTTCAAAAGTTGAAAGAAGCCAGGTTCCTAATGAGAAAGTAGGCTGGCTTGTTGAGTGGCAGGACTATAACCCTGTGGAATATACTGCAGTTTCTGTTTTGGCTGGCCCCAGGTGGGCAGATCCTCAAATCAGGTGAGTAAAGAACCTGTAATTAGCTGGGTATAGACTTTTGGAAAAGGTAGTGAATATATTTGTAAAATTATTTCTTGACACTTGAAAAATAATTTTTATCTGTGTTTGACTTTTATACAACTCAGTTTTGATATTTGCTTGAATTTTTGCCAAAGCAAAGCAGTTCACCTTTGTTAATTTTTGAGGGAATTTTATGAGTACACTTCCTAATAGGTAAATCCATTTTGATTTGAAATAACTGCCATTAGTTATAAAATAACAACTGGTGATATCTATTTTCTTGTGTTTTTTTGGGTTATCAATAGTTCATCTTTCAAAACTAGACTTGTATTTGAAGCAGTGAGAATATTTTTCAGGTAGTTTTTAAGATAGTTAAGAATAGGATGATAATAAATTAGACCCCTGTGAAAAAATAGAAAAGGGATAGATAAAGAGTGGGTGGGGCTGGGGATAGAGAGAGGGAGAGGGAAAGAGAGGAAACATTGAGGCTTGACTCAAAAAAATGTTCTCTTGACTAAATTCATAGAAGTGCGACATTGGTTCACATTTTATGTTTATATTTCTTATTTTTTTCCAGCTTCATCAAAGTATAATAGACAAAAGTGTATATTTAAAGTTTAAAACTTGCATTTTGATACACATATACATTGTGAAATGAGTATCACAATAAAGCCAACTAACATTTCTGTCACTTCACATGTTTACCTCTTCTTTTTTTGTGGTGCCAACATATGAGATCTACACTCAGCAATTTTTGGGGATACATTATTATATATTATTAGCTATGGTCACTGAACTGTAAGTTAGGTCTGTAGAATTTATTCATTCATTCTGTGTAACTGAAACCTTGTATCCTTTGATCAACATCTTTCCATTAAACCTGTTGTTTCTTTTAATAATAAATGTAATGGTAGAGATTTTTCTTTTCCAAAATTAGTTATTATTATTATTATTTTTTATGGTCCTAGGTATTTAACCAGGGTCTTCTTTGTACATGCTAGGCAAACATGAGCTATTTCCCTAGCCATTTTCTTTTTTTTTTTAATTTTAATTTTGAAATAGGGTCTGACTAAGTTGCCTGGGTTGGCTTCAAACTTGCGATTCTCCTACCTCAGTCTCCCACATTGCTGGTATTAGAGTCATGTGCCATCATGCCTGAGTAGTTATTAACTAGATTTACTTTTATTATTATTTTTTAGTGTTGGGGATTGCTAAGCATGCACTCTTCAACTGAATTATATCCCCAGGCTAACTTTATTTTTAAACATATACATTAAAGCTATTCATATTAATGAGGTACTATGTGATATTTTGATGAATGTATATATTTTGTAATGTTTGAATGAGGTTAAACATTATTTGTCTCCTCAAATATTTGCCTTTTCTTTATGGTAAAAATGTTCAAAATCCATTCTTCTAGCTTTTATGTACAGTACATACTGCTCTCTATAGTCATCCTCCTTTGCAACAATACACCAGAACTTCCTACCATAAAAAAATGATAAATGTTTAAGGAGATAGAAATGCTAATTACTCAAATTTAGTCATGACAATTCTATATATGGACCAAATTATCACACTACCCATAAATATGTTAATTAAAAAAAAACAGAAAAAAATAGAAGCACAAAAAGTTTATCCTTTGTCTATGGTTACAGAGATACTAGATGGTATAGTTTGTACTTAGATTCAGTCTGATTCCAGACTGAATCTTAACCATTTTGTTACATTGTCACATTACTTTTAGAACATTTTATTTAAAAAGTTTGATTCATTAAGTTTATTATAAATGACAGTTTTCTCACAATAACTATTGTAAACTACCCAGTGCTAAATAAAGACATTTGCTAATTGAATAGGTCTAGTAATAGTTTATTAGATTGTTAAACTTCACCATGGATTTATTCCTGTGATTTGATTTTGACTCATGGTTTTCTTATTGTACTCACAGGTAATGTTTGTAACTTTATGATAGTCTTAGGATATTAGTCATGATGACATCTGTGGAGAAATTATTAGCTTTAAATGAGTTCCATTTCCCCCGTTTTAGAGATTGTACATAATTATACATCTATTACATATAGACATTAAGCACTATATAATGTAAATAGATGAAGATGGAATACATTTTTTTTGTTCTTTCAATTATTTTTTGAGTTAACTTTGTATCACTCTCTGAGTCAAGCCTTATTACTAATATTAATGYTTCATTTATAACTAGATTCACATTTTTTAAAAATGATGAATTTCTAGAATCTCAAAAACATTATAATTTTGGTTTTATAATTTCATGGTTTTTATCATTTAATTTTTCAATATTTGTGTGTGGCATATTGGTTAAAAATTTTGAGAGAATGTCTGGATCATTCAAATTGGATATTATTCCCCAAACAGATYACAAGTATTTCTTTATTCATTTATTGGAATTGTTATAGCAAGAAAAAGTAAAASATATGTCAAAACTGTCCAGGAACTAACCAGTGCCACACAACTCTTTATCCACTATTAGTATAGTTACATCAATGATGTCCTAATGGTGCAGTTATATAGTTTAAGTGGTTAAAATATTTTTGTTGAGGGGTGGGTGATATAAATGCAGTTAAGTCCACATTTTCTTGTAAGTGTGCAGGTGAAGCTCAGCAAAATTGTGTTTGTATAGCTCTGTAACTACAACCAAGACCAAGATCTAGAATATTTCTAACATATATATGTGTTTTTAATAATCACAATCTACATATGTSTTTTTTAATCTGTGGGGTAAATTTACTGTTTTAAGAGTGTACTTTGATAATACTATTCAGTATACATTTGAAGAAATTAAGATTTTAAACAATTGAAACATCAAGATTATCAGGTGTGGTAGTGCACACTTGTACTCCCAGCTAATTGGGAAGCTGAAGCTTGAGGATTGCAAGTTTGATGCCAGCCTCAGGAGCTTAGTGAATCCTTGTCTCAATAAAATATAAAAGGGCTAGGGGTGTAGTTCAATGGTAGAGCCTGCCTTGTTTCAATCCCCAGTAGAGAAAAACAAACAAACAAAAGAATATAAAAAGGAATCTTTATTTTTGGAACTACAAAATACTAATCCTATAATGTTCTACAAACAATTTTTTGTTGCTGAAGGTAGTGTAGACTTTTTTTTAATAGTATGGGGAGGACCTTCAGTTCTTTTGCCAGTAGTTCTTCTAAGAGTGATTTATAAATATAGTAATAATACACATCCTTGTAATTTTTTTTTCTTCTTAAGTTACTATTCTGAAGAAATTAGATGGATTTGTAAATAAAAACTAACCTTTAAAAATTTATTCATTCAAGGAAGTCACTTATGAATAATAGATAATAATAGACTTATATTATTAAGCTATTGGTAGTATTAAATGATTATGTCTTGATTTGTATTGGTATTCTCATTACAGTGAAAGTAACTTTTCTCCCAAGTTTAATGAAAAGGATGGGCATGTTGAGAGAAAGAGTCAGAATGGCCTGTATGAGATTGAAAATGGAAGACCTCGGTAGGTATTGGTAGGTATTGGGAATGGAGCAATAATGGTCTTCAAAATGTAGAAAAGATAACTAAAATTTATTATATGATTGTATGTGCTAAACATTGTGCAAAAATTTTATATATGCAATCTAATTAAATCTTCAAAACTATGGTTATATGTTTTTAGTTTCTGTTTACAGATATGGAAAGAGTATAAGTAGCTGAGTCAGAATTTAAATGCATTTTTTTCATAATTTTGTCTTGGAGGTAGAAATAATTAATTGAATAAATTAACAGAAAGGATTGAAAATTGTAGTTTTAGTTTTTATTGATGCCTTAAAGTAAGAATTTATCCAAAGTAAGAATATAACTGACTCAATAATTTTAGCAGCAATGTTTTTGTATACTTTGAAAAATGATTTTTCTACACAACTCAAAAATTATCCATTTTTCTTAAGAAGACACAGAAATGAGGAGTAAATGTGAAAATTAGCATACCCTATGTAAAATGATAAGAATCACAATTATGGTTATAACCTTATAAAAATGTTACAATCTTTATTTTAGTTTCTTTAGAAAAAGGAGGTGGTAGTGTTTCTTTCACTGCAACCTGGCCCTTCAATGTTGCTAAATTCTTCCCTTGATCATAACTTATTCACTTTCCAATGATCATTGAGTCTTCTTAAGTTAACTCTTGAATTTAATTTATTCCTTAGGTTCTTTTCTGAGTAAAATATATGAAAGTATACACACACACACACACACACACACACGCACGCACGCACGCACATGCACACACAGAAAATGATAGGCAGTAAAGCCAAGATAGGTTATTATTTTAGTTAGGATTCTAACAGAAGCCAATTTCTATTTCCCTATATGTTGGGTTCATTTTTCTTTCTTTGAAAATAATTTTCTCTGCTTCTCAGGCTATATGATAATTTCTGTATGTCTGTTTCACAGTTTCTAGTTTACTTGGTCCTTATATAAAATAATATTCTCTTTACATGAGCTTTGGTCATTTGTGTTCAAGAGTGTGTTTTTACATAGAATAGAAAATGTATGTTGACCACCTTGTTCTTTTTTCTGCTATTACTGATTAGATCATTTTATTGGTATATAATGAGAGTTGAACATTTAGAGAATGTCGACTAAAGTTACTCAGGCATGAGTGTTGATATATTTATCTGACAGACTTTTAACACTGGGTTATGGTATTATGTTATAAAGCAAATGGAACTCTAATAGATTTCTAGTACACTAAAATCTAATTTTATAAAGATGATATCAATATCTTACTTTGTGTTATATTTATTTATGTGTGTGCAAATGTACATATACACATGTGAATATATATACATGTATACAAAACATTTATGTGTGTGTATGTATACATATATRTTTATATATGTATATAAATGTGTGTGTTTACATACCAAAATCTCAGTGTGTGTTACAAAATATATATTATTGATACACTGATATAGCAATGTCTTGAACCCACTTAGGAAAAATGACCTTAAAAATGTAGTATAAACTAATGGAAGGGTTGTAGGAGACTAAAATAGGAAAAGAGAATGAAGAGAAAGTAAAGAGAAATTGGCTATCCTGAAAGATAAACTGTTGTAGAGATAGATGTTTGGGTACAGAGCATTTTAAGGGTCCAGTTAGGTTTAGTTTGGATTTAGGTGGGCACATGAAAACTGAAACAAATTTGTATATTGTAGAAACACGTTGGAAATCAGATCATACAGATTAAATCTAAAGCTTAAGACATGTGCAAAAGAAAATTTAAGTAACAGTATGATGTGATATGATTTCAGTGGTAGATATGTGACAATATTGCTAGATTTATGAGGAAATACATTTCTCTTCTAGTACACTTTGTGTGTGGGGGTTATAGCAAGTTGGGTTAAAAAAGATGTACTCATTCAATTGATTTTATGTTTTTATTTCCCCCCCAGAAATCCTGCAGGGCGAACAGGATTGGTTGGCCGGGGGCTTTTGGGGCGATGGGGCCCAAACCATGCTGCAGATCCTATTATAACCAGGTGAGAACCAAATGAAATATTTTAGTAAAGAGCTAAGTGATTAGAAAAATGAAGACTGTAGCTATATGTGTGTGTTTCCATGTGTGTAGGTACAGTATATCTGTATGCATATATGTAAATCTGCATACTTATAGACAAATATTTATAGATGTATTTATAAATATGTGTATATATGTTCACATACATGTATATGCACATATGAACACACGTAAATATAATCCATATTTTAATGGGACATTTAGAATTATTATGACATAAGTGTAAAGCTGCAGTTTTATGTTGTATGAGTAAATTAAGCATTTAAAGTTAAGCTCACTAGATATTTAATGGATTGTCTAGTTGTTTTTGGCATTGAGTAGGCACTGTAGAGGATGTGTATAAGAATCCAAGGTCAATTATTTGATGCAGATTCTCAATGTAATCAAAAAATGCAGTAAACACAAGATATATGAAATTGCTGCTGGTGTAACATAGCATACTCTTTTTTTAGTTATTCTTTTTAGGTACATGACAATGCATTTTGACATGTTATACACGCATGGAACATAACTTCCCATTCTTGTAATCACAAGAATGTATGTGATGTGGACTAAAACTGATTCTGTATTCATATGTGAACATAGGAAGCTTATTTCTGTTTCATTCTACTGTCTTTCCTATTCTCATCCCATCTCCCCCCTACCCTTCATTTCTCTTTGTCTGATCCAATTAACTTTTATCCCCCCCCCCCACCTTGTGGATTAGCAGTTAGCATCTGCATTCAGCCTTTGATTTTTCTGATTGGCTTATTTCACTTAGCTTCTTGTCCTTGATAGTCTCTAGTTCCATTCATTCACTGGCAAATGCCATAATTTCACTTTTCTTTATGACTTAGTACTATCCTATTGTATATATGTATACCACGTTTTCTTTATTCATTCATCTGTTAAAGGGTACCTGGGTTGGTTCCATGAATCTAAATAAAAGAAGGTAGGTAAATTTAATATTTAGGTGGACTTAGCCATTTCCACAGGAAATATCTTTTCTAGTGCATCTGGAATATTCTGTTATATCTGCCATTCTTCTTCTTTTTATTTTTGTAATTTGTTTACTGACCAACGCTTTCCCTATCATAATGATTACTTTCCTTCTTTAAATAATGCAAATATCCTTAAAGTTTTTTTTTTTTTTTTTTTAGTTTTGATATTTTGGATACCTTTCCTTTTTCAAGGAAACTGTTTTTCTCTGATCTGAGCTGTGATAATGATTTGAAGCTCTAGGAAGTTTGACTCTAGGAAGTCAGCTTATTTGCCTTATTTTAAAGTTACTGAAAAGAGGCACTAATACCACCCTGTCCTATTGTCTTACCCTTTCAATTCCCTGTCCCAACTGATCTTTACTCCTTACAACTTCCCTTTCTTCCATCTCTCTGTCCTTTTGTCCATCCATTCATCTACTACCTAATAACTTATCTACCTACCATCCTACCTATTTTTCTATCTACAATTCTCTTAGAACTTTTATGGTTTAAGTGAGAAAGGAACAGTGAATGCATTCTTGTGAATGACCTGAAGTAAAAAAAAATATTACTGGCATTATTGGTTTCTTTCCAATGTAGAGAAGTTGGCTAAACATAGGAAGGTTTGAAGTGGAACCAAAGGCTTGGTTTCAGCCTGTGGCACTGTTGGGGGGAGGGTGGTGGAACCTTTAAGAGGTGGGGCCTAGTGGAAGTAAGTGAAGTCATTGAGGGGCCTTGAAGAGGATGCTGGGATCCTGACACACATCCCTCCCCCACCCCTCCACCCTCCCTTTGGTTTCTAACCATCATGAAGTGAGTAGTTACCTCTGCCATATCCTTGCTCTTCTTGCCACGGGACCAAATACACTGGAACCAACCTACCATGGACTGAAATCATGGACCACAATAAATCTTTCATCTTTATAATTTGATTTTTTTCAGGTATCTAATCACAGTGTCAGAAATTAACACAGAAAATTAGTACTGAGAAGTGGAGTCATTGCTGTGATTATACCTGACAGTGTGGTTCAGGCCTTTGGAATTAGCGTATGGGAGAAATTTGGAAAACTTTGGAGAAGCAGGCTAGATAAACCCTAGAATGCTGAAGACAGAGTCTAGTGGGTGATTCTGGTGAAAGCTCAGAAGACCAGAATGCTGTTAGGAATATAAAGAGAAAAGGCCAGGCTCATGAAGTATAAATGAGGACTCTCTTGGAAATTGGACTAGAGTCCATTTGTATGTGTTACATTTTGTCAGAGAACTTGACTACCTTTTGTGCATGCCCTGAGACTTTATGGGAGGCAAAGTTTATTTATTTATGTATTTATTTTTTTGGGGGGGCTATCGGGGATTGATCTCAGACTCACTTGGCCACTAAGCTACATCCCCAGCCCTATTTTGTACTTTATTTAGATAAAGGATCTCACTGAGTTGCTTAGCACCTCGATTTTGCTGAAGCTGGCTTTGAACTCGAGATCCTCCTGTCCCAGCCTCTGGGATTACAGGCGTGTGCCACCATGCTCAGCTTGAGACTGAGTTTAAAGGTGATGGATTAATTAGTCTTACAGAGGAAATTTCAAGGCAGTACAGAATTCTGTCAGTAGCAAGATATTATTGATTATTTTAGCCAGATTTGTAGTGAGATTTGGGAGCAAAAAGCAGAGTGGAAATATCTGAAAAACTTACAGTTCAGCCGGAAAAGGGGAGAAATTAAAGTTGCTTTTAAGGAGGGTACAATTGCTAAAAAGATTAGCACCATAAAAAAGAAACTTTACATTGGGATAATAGGAAAGATGCCTTAAGGGTATTTTAGGTATCAGCTGGACCCCACCCATCACAGATTCAAAGGTATAAAAAAGGTACACTTGTTTCCAAGACTCATATTTGAGCAGAGAGCTCTGCTCACTCAGTCCAACTATAGAACTATTTCCTTGGGATCATTTTCCCTGTGTTCAGGCATTCAGAGACTCTGCAGATTTGGTTCTATTGGGCCCTGGTATAGCTCCTACAGGCAGCAGACCTTGGTGTCATCTGTGTGATGCTGGTTTTGCAGGTATGCAGAATGAAGCAAGATTGCAAAGGAAATCTTGGAAGGTCAGGCATTGTATGGTAGTGTAGGCCTCCTTGCAACATAGCCCCTTACAGAGTGATGTGTAAGGTTGTGAGAATGAAGCCAAGGCTGCAATTGAGATCCCAGCCAGAAAAGTAGGCTTCATCCAGCAAGATTGTAGGGATGGGGCTGCCCAGTCCTTTTGGAGGTCCCATATGTTACCTTGTGCTCCTGATGACACATGGAGTTAACAATATATAATGTTTTCCCTGCTGTGTTTCCATCTTACTTTGGTCCTTTTCTTCCTTTCTATGCTCCTATTCCTTCCTTTTGGAATGGGAATATTTACCCTATTCATTCCCAGCCATTGTGTTTTGAAAGTTTCTAACTTTTTGATTTTTACAGAAGTTCACAGCTAAGAATTGCCTTGAGTCTCAGAGGAAACTTTGGACTTGGACTTTTCAGCAATACTGGGAGTTCTTGGAGATGGACTGAATGTATTTTGTGTTGTGAAATGGACATGAGCCTTTGGGGGCCAGAGGCATAATGTTATAGTTTGGGTCTTAAGTGTCCCACAAAGGCTCATATGTTAAAGGTTTGGTTGCCACCCTGTTGTACTTTTGGGAGGTAGTGGAACTTCTAGGATGTGTGGCCTAGAGGAGGAAGCTAGGTTATCAGGGTCATGCCTTTGAAGGGAATATTGAGACCCTGGCCCCCTCTCTCTCTGTTTGCTTTATAGCCTGTATGAGGTGACAGGCCCTCTCTGCCATGAGTTGTTGTCTTGAGTTGTTGCCTTACCACAAGCCCAAAGTGATGGGTCTGTACTTTTAGGTTGATGTTTATTATCTTAATAATGCATGTATTAATTGATAAATTGCTCTAAATAGATGAGTGGCAGGAAAATGGAGGGATAAGAAGAAGGAAAGATGTTGAAGGAAGAATTAACAAGACTTAAATGGATTATTAAAAATAATGCTCTACTACAGCCATTCTTCTAGGTCCTACTTTGATTTCCCAGAGTAGGTATCAATACATCCATTTTACAGATTTGGAAATGAAGTCTTAACTTGGGTAAGTGATTTATCTAAATCTTTCAGATCTGAAATTTGAATCAGGGATATGTGGCTTTAGATTTTGTACTTTTTCCTTTAGCCATAATGAGTAATCATAAGAATCACATGGGCATGAAGATTCCATCCCTCTTTCTTTCATGTATTTCAAGATTCAAAACAGCATTGTATAGTACAGAGTTTCACAAACTTTCCAGTTCAGAATCTTCAGGGCAAGTATGAAATTTTCAAATTCCCAATAAGTTCCTTCACATGAGATAGGAAGTGTTGTATATTATTGTGAATAAACTTCGTTCAAATAATTAATGGCAATATCATTTTCTTTTCATTTTTGGTTAAGCATAGGAAGGTGTATGCCATCAGAAGTGGTTAGAGAATGTCAATAGTGAAGATGGGAGGGGAGGGGATGGGGGATAGTAGAGGGTAGGAAAGGTAGCAGAATACAACAGTCACTAATATGGCATTATGTAAAAATGTGGATGTGTAACTGACGTGATTCTGCAATCTGCATTTGGGGTAAAAATTGGGAGTTCATAACCCACTTGAATCTAATGTATGAAATATGATATGTCAAGAGCTTTGTAATGTTGTGAACAACCAATAAAAAAATAAATAAATAAAATAAGAAAAAAAAAACCAAAACAAAATTAACTATAACCACAATTGCCCTACTCAGAKTGAAATGGCATTTATCTGAAATTATCTTTGATGTGCTGATTCCTAACTAATATTAAAAAATAATTCAGATATTATTCATTACAGTAATTCATTTTAAATTTATTTCCTTATAAGAATGACTCATCATGAATCATCCATTATAAGGGCATTTTAGTTATTGTGCACAAATGAATAGTGATACAAAAGAAAATGAAATGTTACCTTGTTTGTTCCACAAATGTAAATTTAAAATCCGGGTTTGTTTGAAATTATAGCCTGGCTATTACAATTCTGTTTTTGAACATAAAATATGAAATATTTTTGTTTATGAAAAAAGGTTATTCAATAGCTTCAAATTTCATTTATACAATACTCTTTATAACATAGGAATTAATAATTGTGTTTTTTTCATAACCTAATTTTTCATTTTCTTTCATAATTTTCAAAAGCAAACTTCTCATTTAGACCTGTGACATGGGATATTGTGAATATAATACTGCTATATATATTAAAAGTAACTGATGATGCTTATAAAAAAATAAAGAGTAGTTAAATTTGACAAAAAATGTCAATAGTGCATATATTATCATATATCATCGTTACATATCACGTGTTAATGATGTCAGTAAAAAGTAATGAAGTTTGTTAATTAAAATGAAACACTTCTTTTGTATCAAGAAATATTTTTACTTTGATGTTATGTATCTAGTATTAATAAAGAACATAGCAAAGGGGCTGAGGCTATAGCTCAGTGGTAAAGTGCTTGCCTCACATGTGTGAGGCACTGGGTCAATCCCCAGCACCACATAAAAATAAATAAAGATGCTGTGTGTTCATCTACAACTAAATAAATATTTTAAAAAAAGAACATAGCAAATAACTTCTGCTTAAAATCCTTAAAAAAGGGTTAAAATAAAATCTAAGAATACAAATATAGTAGGCAGACAGCTCTTCATCATTCTGGCCCTGCCTTCTTACCTGGCAGCATCTCTTTCTTTTGCTTTTCATTGATCCTTTCTGGCCATGGCTGTCAGACTGTCTGGATGTGAAGCAGGGGCTCTGTGTTAAGTCTGTTTTCTTATCTCCTTGTAATAGGTGCCAGTAAATATTTATGAGTGAACAGAGCTGTCATTTGTCTTATTACCTCTCATCTGATTAATACATTCATTCTGCTTTTTTGAGTTAAATAGATAGCAATAAGAAGAGCTCAGGGCTGGGGATGTGGCTCAAGCGGTAGCGCGCTCGCCTGGCATGCATGCGGCCTGGGTTCGATCCTCAGCACCACATACCAACAAAGATGTTGTGTCTGCCGAGAACTAAAAAATAAATATTAAAAAAAAAATTCTCTCTCTCTCTCCTCTCTCTCTCCTCTCTCACTCTCTCTTTAAAAAAAAAAAAAAAAAAAAAAAGAACTCAGATTTTAGAACCGGATTGCCTGGGTTCAAATCTTGGTGTATACCCGTATTAACACTGTTATCTTAGATAAGTTATCTGACTTCTCTGCCTCATTTCCATGTCTGTGAAATAAGATAATACAACTACTTTATGGTGTTGTTTTGAAGCTTAAATAAATAAATATCTTAAAGCATTTAAATATATATAATAAGTGTTATATAAACAGATTTCAGTAAAATAAAAAAATCTGTTCTCTCTCCATTTCACTGTCTGCCTTCCTTCCCATTCTCATTATCTTTCACATGGATTGTGGTAACCTTTTAGCTTGTCTTCTTGCTCCTAGTCTTGATTCCCTCCCAACCAACCACTATTCTTGTCAAAATGAGGGAGCTTTCTAATTCTAAATTTTAATTGCTTTATCCTGCTTAAAATATTTTCTGGCTCTCTAATCAGAGGAATTTTATGACTCCTGTCATGTAAACACTTTGCCTGCTTCCTCAGCCTCATTCCCCATCTTTTCCCTCAATGATACTCACAGTACTAGACCCCATACAGATGTTCAGTTTCTTGAACACATTATTTATTTTATTGCTTTGCTTCTTGCTTATGTTATTCTTCTGTCTGGTATCTTAAAAATAGATGTTGTCTTATAATAGTTATTCTTTCATTTCTGTTTACCCTATACAAATTATTACCATCTTATAACTTATTCATGTACACACATTTAACTCTACTGATTTAACTCTTACTGACTGTAAGTTATTTCTGGGGAGAATTTTAGGTTGGATATGATAGTCAGCTGTTATATAAAAAGCCACGTGGAAACTCATATCCAAGCTAGAATATTTTATTGAGTCTTATCCAGAGAAATGATCAGATCATAGATTTTCTTTTTGAGTTCGTATTGGAAGTTTAAAATCTTTACCTTCGCCTAAGAGACCATCAGAACAGTTCTTAAAAGGTGTGATGGAGGTTAGGAAGGGGGAGGTACATTTGTCATCTCTGGGAAAGGTGATCATAGTTAGAAAAAGTATGTTCTGAAATTAACATGCCTTGATACTTTTTATAAGACCATATAATTCAATTCAAAACATAAAATTAGATTAAAGAATGGAGTGAGTTTTTGTTTTTTTAATCAAAAGAGGGCATAAAGATTGAAAAACACTGCTTTAGACACTGAGTAAAACTGTATCAGGTAATCTGCTTTTCTTATAACTCAGGGTGAACTTTTAAATGCAAATGTTGCCAGGTCTTTTTTTTTTWMAMCYWWWAWTTWAAAAAAAAAACTTTAGTAAAAATAGTAAAATAATAATAGTAAAAACTGAAAACTGTTAATATCCTGAATTTTCATTACAGTGAGAGCACAGTATCTTTTATGTGTAGTAGACTTTTGTCCTTGCTTGTAACAATGCTTAATGCAGAATTTTTCAAATGAAAAAAAGAATAGTTTTTCTTGTATAAAACTTATTTGAGGTAAATTTAAATATATTCTGTTAGAAAGAAAAATATATCTTTATAATTTTGTCTTGGCTTGAGATAGAACCTTGGTCTTTGTTCTAAATGAGCTACGATCTTTCATTACTATTCACAGGTGGAAAAGGGATAGCAGTGGAAATAAAATCACCCACCCTGTTTCTGGGAAACACATCTTACAGTTTGTTGCAATAAAAAGGAAAGACTGTGGAGAATGGGCAATTCCAGGGGTAAGCATTGCAATTAAATCAAATTAATGTTTTAAGTCTTTTTTTAGTTACTTTATTTCCTACAGGGTTTTTGTGTGTGGATCTTTACTACTCCATTTCTCCTGAGTTTCTGCCTATTTCCATCATCTTTCATCACTGCAATGAAGTGGCATTTTTAATAACAAGTGTATAATCTGAGTTTAATTTTAACATTTTTGTAAAAACATGTGGACTTTAGAGGTAGATCTCAGGTTGTGTTCTGGCCTTTTTACTTGCAACTGGATGACATGCAGTTTAGGCCTCATCTTTAAAATAAAAGTAATCATATCTACCTTTCAAAATAGCATAGGCACTTACTAATGTGGGGTCCCATCTTAACCACTATTCCAAATTGAAGGTAATATTTTTAGCATTATTTATTAAATTCTGATACTTTATACATAGTAAAAAAGATAGCATTTTTTAACTTATTATTTCTTTTAGTTTTAAAATTTCCATAGTATTAGGAAAAATATACTTTTGTCAACTAAGTATACCTTAGTTTGAATTTATGCCAGTATGATATTTGAAGTAACTTTTAATATATGTATCATATGTGTGTAGAAGGTTTTCTATTTTGTTCTGTATTGTGAAATGGAGACGATTTAATATAATAAATATTCTATAAATGTACTATTATCTGAAATAATTTTTTGTAGGATAAGAGTAGAATGGAATTAAAGATCTAAGCTGATTCTGATAAAAGCTTAGACTAATTATTATGAACCAAATCATCAGACTTCACTCTTGCTCAGTGCAACAATGTCATAATGTTTTCATCATAGGAGCTTATATTTTAATTGTCATTTGACATTCTGATGAGGTAACTGTGGTTACTGATACAATTTTGAGTTATTCGTCTACTCAATATAATTTGAGTATTTTCTCTTTGTTGACTAGTATCTTAGACACTGAAGGTACAACACAGCAACTTAAACAAACATCCTTGTTTTATAGTGCTCACATTCCAGAGAGGGAAATAATAGAAGTTAAATATATTTTACCTTAGGAAATGCTAAGTATTAAGAAAGAACTTAAAGCAAAGTAGGAGACTAAGAAGTGTATGGGAATTCACAGTTTTAGATAGTGATGTTTGTAATCTGAAGGAAGCGAATGAGTGAACCATGTAGGCATCCATGAAAAAACATCTTGGACAAAGATTATAGCAGGTGTAAAGGCCTTCAGGTGGGAGTAGGTCTGGTGTGTCCTGTGAACACCAAGGAGATGAGATAAGGTACATTTATTGGCTACTTCTACTAGAAACAAATGGTTTAGAGAAGAGTATATTACAGAGGAATGAGGACCATTATTATAGGCTGATTGAATAATGGTCTGTTGTACTTCAGTAAATATTTCATGAATAAATCAAAGCTTATTACTCCTTCTTCTTCTTTTTTTTTTTTTTAATAATATGATTCTTAGGGGATGGTAGATCCAGGAGAGAAGATTAGTGCTACACTGAAAAGAGAATTTGGTGAGGAAGCTCTTAATTCCTTACAGAAATCTAGTGCTGAAAAGAGAGAAATAGAGGAACAGTTGCATAAACTCTTCAGCCAGGAACATCTAGTGGTAAGAACTGATGGTTTCCAGAAGGGATTTAGTCCTGTGAATTAATAAAAAATGACTTAAAATATATCTGCAACCTAAAAGAACCTTCTCTAAGAAAATAAAACTTCTTGTATATTTGAAAAATATATTCATAAAAAATTTAGGCTGTAGATCTTCACTTTAAAATACATTTCTATTTAAACTTTTATAGCTTTAGGTAAATTTAATCATAATTTCTTTTAGTTTTTTTCTGTAGACCAAATGTGACAGATAACTCTTTTTTTATCTGCTGAGTATACATCCAACAGCCCTCTTTCCTCTTTTTTGTTTGTTTGCATGAATTCTCCTTTCTCTGAAAGGACATTCACATTTTAAATTTTATAAGAGTTTTTAAAAAAATTAAAAAATTAAAAAAAACCTTATAAGGTATATGTGCACTAATAATAAGGAAAGGAATAAATTTTCTTTTCTTTTCATTGACTTTCATTTGGATTAATTTGTTTTCTTTCCGGAATTAGAATTTCTTAATCTTTTGTCTATGTTATCCAGTTTTATGTATTTATTTTTTTGTATTACATTTGTGTTAGATGACTAGAACCAAATCTTTTCATGTATTAACAGCTTAAATATGTTAGTTTTATTTATAGAGCTCCTTTTTTTAAGTAGAAAAATCTACCTTTCTATTTATGAACCTATAATCACAGAAATTATTAAAATAGAAAAATGCCTAAATTGTGGAGCTTTTTAAAAAAATCTTATGGGTCAAAAGGACTGTTTTCTTTCTTTCTTTCTTTTTTTTTTTTTTTTTGTGGTGCTGAGGATTGAACCCAGTGCCTTGTGCATGTGAGGCAAGCACTCTAGCACTTGAGCTATGTCCCCAGCCCCCAAAAGGACTATTTTCAGTTTTTTCCCCTGATGTTAGTGATTAAACCCAGGCTCTCCCACATGCTTTTTAAAAGCACTTGCACTACCATTTAGCTATGTCCCCAACCCCTTTCACATTTTGAAATTAGAAATCTAAGATATGGAGGGTTTTTTGAATCTTAAACTTGCCTCTAAAGAAAATATTGTCTCCTGAGAAATTTAAAAGAAGTGTTTGAAAGCTACAGTAAAGAATTTATGATATTTACATTTCTTCTTTTTAAAAAATTTTGGTAAAATACATGCCACAAAATTTAACCATTGTTGTACAACAGGATGTTTACATTTCTGAATCTAGTGAATCTTCTGAACATTTTTTTGTTCTACCCATTCCTGTTTCACCCTAGAATTTTTTTTTATCTGCCTCCTTTTAAAAATAGATATATAAGGGATATGTTGATGATCCTCGAAACACTGACAATGCATGGATGGAGACAGAAGCTGTGAACTACCATGATGAAACAGGTAATTTTATACTCATGTTTATTGGATTGATTGGAATTGAGGATCAATGTAAGTCAAGCAGCCTACTGGGGCAGTTGTAGTTGGACTATCTTAGCATTTTAGGTAATTAACTATTTTTTAAAAAAAWTTTTTTAGTTGTAGATGGACACAATACCTTTATTTTATTTGTTTATTTTTATGTGGTGCTGGGGATCGAACCCAATGCCTCATGCATGCTAGGCAAGTGCTCTACAACTGAGTCACAACCCTGGCCCCAGGACAATGAACTATTGATTTTAGGACTATATTTATATGAAAGCAAAGTTGTTGGCATTAAAAGACTACATAGAACAAAACTTCAAAAGTGTTATTCACCAGTAACTATTGGTAGCATATGAAATTAAGGTTGAATTTATGGGCTAAAATGATGTATTTTTAAAGGTTGTTCTATTATTTGTATAATATATTTCCATTTGTGTATAAGATAAAAATAAAGCAACTAGGAATTTGGGTGGGAGAGTAGGGCAATAATAAAGGAGTTGGGATTTTATTTGTCTTAGTGTTTGAAATATTTTAATAATAAGCATGCATTTTTAAAGCACAAAACAATATCAGAAAGGTTACAAATACTGAAAAAATTTAAAATGAATGCTTTTTTCTAGTCTGTGGATTTTAAAATTTATTTGGGAGAATCAAATGTGTTATAAAAAGAGATGAAATTTGCTATCTTAAAAATTAATTATTATTTTTAATTTACACATTGAATACCTTCTCTTGAAACACATTTGATTGCCAAACTGGATGATTTCCTAAGTATTTGATATTTATCTGTAGCATAATGGAGTGAGGACACTGTATCAGAGAACAATGTTCTACTCATGGCTCTTCTCTGAGCTGTGTAGTCATGTGCAAATCAATTTTCCCCTTGGACTCAGTTTATTCATTTATAAAACAGACTAGAATTAGAAGATCTGTGACTTCTCTGTGCTTTTGCTTGTTGAACTTGGGGGAAACTCCTGGCACTATTTCTATTCTTCTACTTTAAGATAGTAAAAAGAATTCATCCTTCTGGTATTAAGAACTTAGAAGAAATATACAAATAGAACTTAGAGGCAGGTTTATACAGTGGAAATACAGACAAATTTGTTATTTTGTTTTGGTGGGGGTTGTTAAAAATAGTAACTAATCCTCCAAAAAGGTTGATTACATAGTTTATATGTTGTTCATTGTTTTCACTTCACTTCCTTTTCTCCATTAAAAAAAAAAAAATTTTCCAAAATAGATATCTGAATGTCCTATTGCTTACTTTGTCTCTTCAGACTGTGTTTTTGACTTTTTAGCATACCTACAGTGTATTTTAAAAGCTGGACACAATTTATCTGGTAAAACAAATTAAGACAAATAGGACTTTAGTGTGAAGTTTTGTTTTTATCTGGCCAGGATAGCTGTATTTATTGCTAAAACTATAATAAGAGTCAGAGACTAAAATTTCCTCTAGTGTCCTTGTTTTTTGTTTTTTGTTTTTTTAAATTTTTTTAACCTACTCTGTTGTTTTAGGGTTGCCTTAGAGACTTCTTAATAAGGTCTGATATATGCTCTTCAGTTGTATTCTCCTGTTATAGTAAGTTTGGGGGTAGAATCCAGTGATTGGGTCTCAGCCTTTTCGTGAGCCTGTGCCCTTAACCTATGACCTTTACAAGTGCTTCTAGGCTTCTCTTCCTCCTTCTCCCATCCTTAGGTCAGACAAGGAGACAGAGAGCTCTGGAATTGGGTATTTCCCTTCTCCAAGGTTGGTTAAGCCTTGGTAAAATAATTTTCTATAAGGGCCATATACTGTGGGAGTATTCAAAATGGTTACTTTTGGGCTGGAGATGTGGCTCAGCGGTAGCGCGCTCGCCTGGCATGCGTGCGGCCCGGGTTCGATCCCCAGCACCACATACCAACAAAGATGTTGTGTCTGCCGAGAACTAAAAAATAAATATTAAAAAAAAAAAAAAAAAAAAAAAAAAAAAAAACAAAATGGTTACTTTCATTTCCCCTTTCTGGAAACTAGAGGGGATTTTCCTCTAAAGAGGGGGAAGGACTCTGCCCTCTGTTGGATATAAGAAGAATTGTTAATTTTCAGTTCAGCTTTTTAAGGTAGGAATTATGACTCCTGAAGTCTAAATGTCATATCATCTCCCTTTAAATTTTTAAAAATTTGTTTTGTATAATTTATTAAGTGACCATAGGAGTGAGTAAAAGAACCTTTCAGACATTGTTAATTTTAATAAGAAACTTGATGTAGAGAGTTGTTGTTTAGATAATTTGATACTTTAACTTTTGGATTCAGGTTTACTTTTTAGTTCTCTTTCTCTGTGGATGGTTGGATGTTGCAGTTATAATGAAGATGCACATAGAGCTATCATTTCAGCATTGGTATTTAGGAATCTGTGCTAAAATATAATAGTTCTTTCTTTTAAACATTAGCTTTATTATTTTATTACAAGTACTTATTATATAGGTAAAGTTAATTGAAAGTTATTTAAAAATAAATGATGTAAAGAGGAAATGCTTTAACAGGCTGTTTTTTTTCTTTTAGATAAATTCTTCATAGAGGAATTGCTGGATTGTTATTGTACATTCAGTGCCTAGTTTAGTGTTTGGTACACAGACACTCTGATATTTATTGGTTGAATGCTTATACAGAAGCATTTGCTTTCTAAAAATACCTGATAAACATTGCCAAATTGTTCTATAGAAATATGCCATTTATATTCCTAAAAATGACTGAGAATGTTTATTTTAATTTTTTAATAATTATAGTTGAAGATATTTTAATAAATATATTTATGCTTGTATAAATATAAATATTTTCTGTTGTAGTTTTTTGTCATGCTTAGAAAAGTCTACTTAAGCCTGTATTTATTTATTTATTTATTTATGTGTGTGTGTGTGTGTGTGTGTGTCTAATCCCTCAGGAATTTTTTTTTTTTTTGATGTAAGGTTTTGTACTCATTTGATATGTTCTCTTTGATAATTATACTGTTCTTACTTTTTTAAAGAGAAAATCTTTCTTTTTGGTGCTCAACCTGAAATTTAGTAACTTAATTAAAATATAGGCAACTTGGAATATTTTAATTTTTAAATTTCTTGGCCACTGATACAGTAATGATTTATGATTATTTTTACTAAGAATACTTGGAGATGTAGTTATGCTGGGAAAAATAAATAAATAAATGAATTCCTTTTTTTTGGTGATGGTTTTTCTTTGGTAACCAGGTGAGATAATGGACAATCTTGCCCTAGAAGCTGGAGATGATGCTGGAAAAGTGAAATGGGTGGACATCAGTGATAAACTCAAGCTTTATGCCAGCCACTCCCAATTCATCAAACTTGTGACAGAGAAACGAGACGCACACTGGAGTGAGGACTCTGAAGCTGACTGCAATGGGTCATAGCTTGTGGTCTCCGTGTAAGCCAGAGGCCAGCAAAGGAACATGCACTGAAAAGAAGGCAGTGACAGAACTCATGCTGTAAAAAGGCAGCGTAGCTCACTAGGAAGTAATTTTATTCATTTTCAAAATGTTTGTATTTAGAAGGTTTTTGCATCAGAATAATATGAGTAAATATCATAAAATAGAATTTCCACCTTTCTGATCAAAAAGATTAGAAATAGTTTTATTTTGTATGCATTCCATAAGCATGGCTTAAACAAAGTTTAATACCTGATGCTCTTGAAGAGTTGTAGTTAGAACAAAGATAAATTCCCCATCAGCTGTAACTTCTGCTTTTTCCATCTAGTTCTTGTTCGTTAGTTCTTTTCCTCCCTCTAAACTGAGGTTTGAAGGATGTTTGTGCCACATCCAACTTCTTTTGGAGGAGTACTGCCATTGGTTGTATAGTTTAATGTCTAATCTGATTTTTATTTAAATTATTTTGCTTCACATGATTTTGTTGAAGCTGACTTCAAAAGTGGAAACTGTATTTTTGTCTTTGAGTCATCCATTTTATAAGGAAATTTCAGTTATTTTGTCAATAAAGATCAAGATTAATGAATAAGAGCTCATATTCTTATTTTTCAGAAATTCTGAATTTTAAAAATATGCCTAGGGTATTAGAAATTTATGGAGATTTCACTCTACTATAACTATTGTATGTCACAAATGAATTAGAGATGGATGTAAAAAGGCAGGGACAGAGAGGGGTTGTTGTAAGTTAGAGTACTTTTTATGAGGAAGGGAATGTTAAGGATTGAACTTAATTTTTGAGAGACATGTGGTCAGTGTAAATCATAGAGGAAGGATAGGGTTGGTGTATTAGGGTCTTTTGGAAGCAGGGAAGAGGAAAGAAAAAGAACACTGCTTGTCCCAGTAGACATATCTGTCACACTCAGGCTAAGGATTTCTATTGGAAAGTCCTGTGATATTGACTCCTGACAACCTGCAGTATGGATTGTCAGAATTCCTTCTTCCTTCCAGTTAGATTATAGATGGGACACCTAAAGAAAAGGAAGTTTGTGGAAAGAGACATGCTATTTTTCTACAGATATTTGAAAAGGGTAACCAGGCTTACTCTCATAGCTAGAGAGCAAGATTAGGGCTAAGATAAAACAAAAACAAAATGGTGGGTTTTTTTTTTTTTTTTTTTTTTTTTTGGTCTTGATTGTTGTTGATTTGATGTCATGACTTTTTTGGTGATAAACCCGAACTGATCTGGAAAGAGACATTTCTCTTCTTAGTGTAACTGTAAGTTTTGCAAAGAAATGTTGCAGTGTTTGATTTCAGGATACCTTGGTCTCCTCTGGAAGAGTTATATTATGAGGCTTATTATGATATTATTCTTTTAAAATCCATGAAGTCCTGGTCCATAGGATCCTGTGCATTGATCACCCTCATTTGAATGACTTTCTCTCAGCATGAAAGAGCTGGCTTCTACTTTTACTGTTTGACAGGAAGAAATTGCTTCTTCCTGGCAATAAATAGAATTCTTTGAAATTGAAATGACTAATGAAAGCTCTCAAGAAAGTTTGAGAAATTTTGTGAAAATAACATTTACTTATTTTTTAATAATTTTGGTATATTTGAACTGAAATAATAAAGATATTAGTTTGTGTTGAAGTTTTATTTGAAGTATGACTGAAGCAGATAGGTCTATAGATAACATTTGTTGTGGTATTTTAGAGTTTTCATTAGAACATTGACAGAATATGAAAAATGATTAAACCACTACCAACTATAGATAAGATAAATGCAGATAGTCTTCTGATAATTGTAAATATCCAGCACCATCTATAATTAAGAAAAACCAGATTAAAATGTTAGTTTAAGACCTTCCTGGAGGAACATCTGCATCTGTATTGATAGATAATGTCCCCTTCATATTTACTTTCCTAATGTCTTAGAGATAATTAATATTTTTTTTCTTTTAGAGACTGAATAAAGTAAGTAGCAATAATAGATCCCATTTACCGAATGTCTATGTCATTATCACTTAATCCACACAACAGTCCTGTGAAATCCCAGGACTGTTCCATTCATTCCATTTTACAGATGAAGAAATTGAGATTTTGAAAGATTGCCTAAGGTTTTATTCAGTGAGGGATAGAGCTTGAATTCTGGTCTACCTAGTTCCAGTATCTGTTCTCGTTTCTATTACATATTAACCCTACTCAGGTTATGAGTCTTGTGATTTGTTACTTTAAGGATGCAGATAGGAAAAGTATGTTACATAAATGATACTCATGTTAGCCAAAATACTGCATAGTTTATGACTTGAAATTTAAGGGCCACACCTGATTAAACCAGCATTGTTGAAATTGTTTGTATAATTTTGGACCAAAGACAGTTTATTTGGTGATATCTTAATCTAAGATATCAGTATTTGTCTTGCCAGCAGACATTCTTGAGCTTTTGAAAGAATTTCCAACTCAAATAGAAGTGTATGCTAAGTTTACTTAAGGTTGTAATTATCTTAAGAGCTAGACACTGGGTAGCTATGGAGAGAATTTGAAAATTCTAGCAGTTTTAGAGGCTACTTTTGTTTAGAAGTATAAATTATTTTATGCTTAGGACTTCTGGTGGCTATTGTTTTCTCAAATATTTCAGGAGTTTTAATAAATAAACTAATTTAAAAATATATCCTTTGAAGAAATCCTTTGTCATTAGGTTGGTCTTGTTTATGGTTGATTTCATCATACTATGATTTTACCTACATGGACACAATTTCAAGGTGATAAAACACTTACAAAAATATTTAGAAATATATAACGGTGGTCTGCAAATAGAAAAATATTTGGAGATTTTACTAACCATGTATAACTTCTGGCATAATGGTGACAGGATTATTTCTGTTGAAATAGAAAATACAGATTATAGTTATATGAAAATATTGTCACCACCTGTCTCCCATTTTATGGTTATTTTATTGCTCATGTGTTAATATTGAAGTGACTCTGTGGGTTGGGAGTGGAAAATAACGTGATTCTGCTGTACTTTAATGCTGATAAATTGAACTCTGAACTGTCTTGTCTACAACATTGAACTTTATTTTTCCCATTTGGCCTCTGATGACCTTAGAGAAGTACTTGAAGTGGTAAAAACATACTAAATTAATACTTAAGGGCATTGAAACTGATTAGGAAGGGAAACTGTTGGGTGAAAATCCAATTTCTTTCTCAATATTGAAGTTGAAAACATTTTGATTCATCAGCTTCTTCAAGGTAGATTAAAAAATACATATGTATATAATTTTAATTATATTCCATTATTTTGATAAGGAATATATTTTTTTTGTTCCTACTTTTTTTTTTTTGTACTGTATGTTTTAAATGAGAGCAAACTTGCTTGAGAGAGAGTCAAAGCAGATGTCCTAAAGTTTGTAGCCTTTTCATCCAGCAAGCTGATGGCTCTTGCATTAAAGAGATGTGACATGCAGAAATTTTGATCTAAAAGTCTTGGGGGACACTGAGTTTATAACTAATGAATTCTAATTGGGTAGATGAAGTGGGTTGATTCTGCCATGTGTTTTTATAGTTCAGAGCCATTATTCTTACCTTTCTTGACATTGCCACTTATTTTATAAGTAGAAATAAAATCTTACCCCAAGGAAGCCCTAAAAATAAGAAAAAAAAATTAAGCTATTATCTTTAGTCCATTCAGTAAATTTGTAGTTTATAGTAGCCTAAAAATACTTACCCCCAGTTGGTTCAAAACGGAGGTGATCAACTGAGAAAGAAGAAAAATCAATGTCAGGACTATCAGTAGGTTTATTTTTAACTTTAATTTAGTACATGTATAAATTAGACTATTTTGTATATGAAAATGGTTTTATTGAAAATTCCACTTTGTTACTTATGATTTTATTTACATAATGTAAGATTTTAAAATGAAGAATCAATACCAAGATTTACATGTCTTTAATTTACAGAAATATTTTCTTCTGTCTTGTAACTCTATTCATTATGTTTGACTCACACTCTTGGCTATCACAGAAGAAATTGTTTCATTGATGTATAGTTGGGTTGAATTGAATAAGTGAATATATAATTGTTCTCAGGCATTAAGATTGTTTTTTGGGTTTGAATTTAACAGCTGCTCTTTATTTTGTATCTACATGAATTGGACTAATAAGAGTAATTTTCAGGATGAGTTGGCTCATTTTATGCAGGATATTGAATATAATACATTTATAGACTTATAGGTTAACAAAGCAAAATATATTTACCATTATGAATTCATTAAGTGTCAGGACCTAGAATAAAGGAAATACGAAATAATCTAGGAGTTATAATTCAGCATTTTAACTTTTTTCTGTTATAATTTTATATTAGCTTGGTAAATGAAAACATGCTTTTTAGAATGCATTTAAGAATTATATCATTAGGATTCATATTTACTAATATTTTTAAAGTATCTCCCCCTTGGTACCTCTTTCTCAAACCTATTTCTGGATATATGTAGTCCATATTTTCTTTTGTGGATTCCAAACATATAATATTTATTTTTTAGTTATAGGTATACACAATATTTTTATTTTTATTTTTATGTGGTGCTGAGGATCAAATCCAGTGCCCCACGCATGCTAAGCAAGGACTCTTCCTCTGAGCCACAGTTTCCCAGTTTCCTTTTTTATAAGTTTTTTTAAAAATGCTTTTTAGTTGTCAATGAATCTTTTTTTTTTATAAGTTTTTTTAAAAATGCTTTTTAGTTGTCAATGAATCTTTTTAATTTTTTTTTTGTAGTTGTAGATGGACAGAATGCCTTTATTTTATTTATTTTTATGTGGTGCTGAGGATCCAACCCAGTGCTTCACGCATGCTAGGCAAGCACTCTTGTCACTAAGCTACAGCCCCAGTCCAATGGGTCTTTTATTTATTTATATGCCATGCTGAGGATGGATCCCAGGGCCTCACATATGCTGGGCAAGCATTCTACCACAGAGCCACGACTCCAGCCTGGAACTTCTTTTTTGAAGATCATTAAACCTATGCTTAGTAGGTTGAGAAAAAATACTACACTTTTGCATTAACATTATGAAAGAAACTATAATGATGTTATTTTCTGTAATTTTAAGAAGAGTATAATTTTAAAAATTGGAATTAATATACTATAAAATATATAACTTTTTTTTTCTAAATCAGTCATATAATTATCAGTACTTCAGTGAAGTCCCATTAAAGTAAAATTTAAATACACCTTATATACCATGAACATAACCCTAAATATAGTTCAAAGGCTTCAAGGACAGATACATTTCAATAAGTATCCTCCCTCCCCATT